TCTCTTTACGTTCCGTTAATTCTCACTCCATGTGATCACGCTCTTACTGTCTTACTCCTTAGTTTATTTACAGCAATTTACAGCAGCTGTTTATATTAATCTACCTTAGATGCGTTCGTTCGGATTTTATAATGAAAAAAAGAGTTGAACAAAGAGTGTGTTTGAAATTTTGTGTTGCTAACGAAATTTCTTGTGCCGACGCATTAAAAATGTTACAAAAAGCCTACGGGGACTCTTCTCTCTCGAAGTCACAAGTGTATGAGTGGTACAAATTGTTTAAAGAAGGTCGTGAAATCGTAGAAGACTTGCCGCGTTCTGGGCGTCCATTGACATCAAATACGGACAAAAACGTCGATAAAGTAAAGAAAATTGTGCTTACAAATCGTCGTGTGAGTGAAAGAGAGATTACTTCAACCCTTAACATTTCTAATGGTTCGGTTCATCACATTTTAATCAGAGCTTTGGATCTTAGATATGTTCAAACGCGATTAGTTCCAAAGCAAGCGTCTCTTGTACCGTGTACTTGATTTTTTTATCAAATGCAACAAATACCATCGCCCATGCACCGTATTATCTTTTGATTACAGGATATCACGTGTAGTGTTTACATACTTGTTAAATTTAATAAAACCGAACTTAGAAAAATCCGGATCTGGGCAGTGTCCAATTAATCCATAATATTATCAGACATGGCACCATGTGTTTTTTTTGTTTCCAAGACTCAAATTGCCATTACAGAGAAAGTGTTTTGATTCCATAAAAGAAAATTCACAAATGAAGGAGCTAAAAGCCATACCACTTAAAAATTTCATGAATTTAATATACTTTTAAGTTACACAATTTGAATTTAATTTTATGATGTTATATTTAATGTATTTATAACTGAAAAGCATATTTGTATACATGAAAGAAGAAGGGTCTATAAGGGCCAGTTTCAGCCTTATCTAAATTTTGTATCAAAACTCATGAAAATTTATTTCTTGAAGTTAATTATATTCAATATAAATAATTTTAGCTTAAATGGAGCAGAAAAATACTAATTTCTGAATAAATATGGCAACATCATCGTTCTGTTTAAGCTAAAATCATTTATATTGAATATAATTAACTTCAAGAAATAAATTTTCATGGAGTTTGGACAAAATTTGGATAGAACCGAAATTAGCCCTTATGAACATTCCTCCTTTAATGTATTTTTTATGAAACTTTATGAAATTTAATGTATAATATATTATACGCTCATTATATTTAAGTATCTACTGTAGCTTAATTTTCAGTTAAATCATTCATTACTTTTAATTTCATTCATAACCATGAGCTTTATTTATATGTAAAGGAAGCATTTCTAATAGTGCACCTTCAGGAAAATGCTACGAAGAGTGAGTTAATCACTGGCACATGTATGGCTTCAAATGATTATTTTGAAGAGGATAAAATAAATTTATCTTAAAATTTAAAATTTTGCGTTTTATTTAAAAATTCCGGGTACTTTTACAGCAGAGAGTATGTTACGTATACTATATATTTTGAGAAAAATTTTTTTTAAAGATGTTTTGGAATATACCCTAAGCTGTCAATATCTTTAATAGCATTGGAAAATTTGGACGAAGACGGTATCGATAATGTTTCTGAAGAAGATGAACGAATGGAATTATCACCAGTTCAAGCAGTTCAACTTCGTGTTAAAAATTATGTGGACATGGTGAAAGAATTTTCAGATGTCGAGTTTAAAAGAGAATTTCGGTAAAGTGAATATAAATAATATAGCTTTATGTATAATACTTCAAAAGTATACATTTATTAGCTTGATTGTTTTTATTATGCAAAATATAACAATCTTATTTGAATATGAAGAAGTTTTTTATTTAAAATTAATTAAATTTTGATTACAGGATATCACGTGTAGTGTTTACATATTTGTTAAATTTAATAAAACCGAACTTAGAAAAGCCAACCGGATCTGGGCGGTGTCCAATTAATCCATACTTACAATTATTAGTGACATTATGGACCATGGCAACACCTGATTCATACAGGTAATTATATATAAAAAATAATTATACCGAATAAATAAGTATTAATACTAAATTCATTTTATATATATATATATATATATATATACACATATTTTTTCATTAATAGATCTGTTTGTCATCGATTTAATATTGGACGAGCAACTGCTTGGCGTGCTCATAGAAAAGTCTGTGCAGCGATATATTCTTTAGCAGATAAATTTATCAAATGGCCTAATATAGAAGAAGCACAACAAACATGGACGGATGTTCAATACAAACATAAGTTTCCAAAAGTACTTGGTGCCATAGATAGTACACACATACGTATACAGAAACCAAAGGAACATGCAGAAAATTACGTAAATCAAAACGGTCATTATTCAATACATTTGCAAGTAAGTTATATACGTTTAATGTAATGAGTAAGGAAATAAAACTTTTATGAGATTGATGAATGTTTAAATATTTTTATATCTGTTGTAGGCTGTATGTGATTCCACTTTAAAGTTCATCCATTGTTATGCAGAACAACCGGGATCTATGAATGATATGTGTGTATTCTGGTTAAGTGACATCCCATCCATGTACACAGAAAAATTTTTTCCACAGAATAGTCATCTAATAGGTGATACTGGGTATGCTGTGCAAAAACATGTAATGGTACCTTATGATAACAACGACAATGATTTGTCAGAAGCACAAATTAATTTTAATGAACGTTTATGTTCGGCCCATATAATGATTAAAGAAGCTGTTAGTTATCTGAAAGGACGTTTTCGTAGTCTCGAAGATAAGTTGTATATGAAACGGACGGATCTCATACCCGAATATATTATTGCGTGTTGTGTGCTGCATAATATTTGCATTTTACATGGAGATTTTTTAGATGATATTGTAATTACTGAAAAAGACAATAATCTTATGACGAAAGATGACATTGAAACTTTTACTCCAGGTAAAGAAGAAGGCATTGAAAAAAGAAATGCGCTAACAAATATATTAAACGAGAGCGTCAAGTTCAATGTATTTGACAATATTGCAATTGAACACAGTTACTCACGGCGATCAGTGCCTTTTTCACTGTGATAAGCTGTGAGTGGTTTATCAATGTAAACACGTCATATAATCAAACGACTCCTACTCAACTTAAATCTGTGTATCTAGTTTTTTAATATTCTCAAAGAGAAGCACTGCATCTACACATACATTTCACAATTTAATATAGAGACACTATATAGGTTTGTAATTGTAATCCATGCGAAAATATATGTTGTATTATTGTTTTATATAAGAGTAATGAATATTTGTTAATAATTTTTTTATTGAATAACAAGAGATATTTTTTTAAGAAAAAATAATGAACCACTTTTATTATTGATTAATTTATTAAATTTCTTTTATTTCAATTAAAATTAGTAAAAAAATTCCAAAATCTAAAGATACGGTAGTGTCTCGGTGCTAAGACATGGAGTGAGACAATGCTCCTTTATCCGGATTTACAAAAGATATTTTAAGCCTTAAGCTGTAAGAAAGTGATCAACTACAGTCGAATGCGAGGAGAATAATTGATTGTGATTCGTTTATTCCTTATAGCTTAAAACTTAAAAATCTATTGTAGATCCGGAGTAACCCCTAGAATAATTATATTTTTTAATTTTATGTATTTCATATATTTAAAATACAAATGGCCAAGCAATAAGTGGAAAGTGTGAACAAGACTGAAAGACAGAAGATGTGTATTTCTGTCCTGCTCAGGACTAACTTTTCTTCTTTCTGGGCATGTGCCAAAAGAGGATAGAAAAGTAAGGATAAACCAATAACATGGGGGTAATGTTTCCAAACGCAACCCTAATGTAGGACTGTGAGTAGTGTAATGCAAGGCATAGTCGAAGTCGGCAATGCTTTTCAAAAATATAATAGCCACATAACGCATAATGCATAGTGCATAAGGGAATCAATCAATTCTTTTTTTTTATGAAATGGGAGGAAAGGAAAGATTCTGATTAGTTGATTTGCTTATGCACTGTGCATTATGCGTTATGCAAGTCTGTGCTGCGGCCTTAATCGAGGTGACGCAATATCCGAGACGAGAGGAAACACGTCCGATCTGAGGATCGATTCTGTATCTTGAAATGAGGTAAAAATTATAAAAGTGAGCGAATTTACTAGAATACTGATTATTTCATTGGTCAACACCTAGTAAATTTGCTCACTTTTATAATTTTCACCTTGTTTGAAGATACAGAATCGATCCCCTGCTCGAATAATCTTACGAGACTTGCTCACAGCTCGACCATATTCCCTCTCCAGTAGTATAAGCTCTATGATTATACCGTGTCATGTGTCGCTTGTTAGAAATTACATTTCTGTTAGGTTAAAAATATAACAAATTTTCTAACCTTCACAAATATCAACTTTAAAGGCGGAAGCAGTGTCATGCATAACGCGTAATGCATAAGAAAATTAATCAATTGAAATCTTTCATTTTCTTCACTTCCATGAAATAAAAGATTTAAATTGGTTAAGCGGGGAGCACAGATTTTTGCATAACACGTAACACATAATGCATAAGAAAATATACCCATTACAAGTCCTTCATTTCCTTCCTTTCCATGAAATAAAGAGCTCTGATTGGTTGAATTTCTTATGCCTTATGTGTTATGCAAGTTTGTGTGGAATGGCCCTTAATTTTCTTATGCTTTATGCATTATGTATTATGCAAAGATCTACACTTAATCATTCAAATTTGGGATAAAAGAATTAAACATCTACTTATTTTCGCAGATTCTATTAGCAAAACATAAGCTTAATGCAAACACCACAGGTACAGTGTGTTACTTAATCATAGTTAATTAATTTTCTGCTGAAATTTTTTGATATACTGTTAACATTTCATCTAAAGAATTTATTAAACCTTTTTTTATGATTGTTTTTACATATTTTATTAAAGTATAATATATTTAAAATAAAATAGATTTTGAGATGCATTTTCATACATTTAATTTAATTAAAAACTTTGGAAAGTGTGAATAAAATCAAAATTCTTAAACCGTCCACTTCATGCATCTCGTGTCAAGATGAGTACCTAAACATTTGACACAGCAATATCTAGCGCCACAAGGTATGCATATATAATTACTAGGGAAACCACACACTGCACAGAAATGTCTCTCGGGTAAACGAGATGGTGGTGCTTGAGCACTAGCGTAGTTTGGTGGATTAGGATTCACATTGAGATCTTCTTCAACCAGCTGAGCAAAAGTCTTGCGAAAACGTTGCTTGTAATATTCTGCAGAACGGGTTTTCTTCTTTCTACTGTTACTTCTATTGTCCAGGGTCTCTTGGAATTTTGGTATTTTCTTGCTCATAACTATAATAAGAAAAAAAATATTTTCTAACACATAATGTTTCGAAAAGAAATAAGCATTTTTATGGTATATACCCAAGTCTGCATGTGGATCATCATGAAAATTGTCTTGCTCCAATGCTTCCAATGCTTTTTTTTGCCTACGTTTACGAGTAGCCTCATCAAGAATCCTCTTTTGACTCGCGTCTTTTATTCTACCGGATTCTCGAGACATTTTTCAAGTTTATATAATATTATACACCTCAAAAAGTGGCTTTCGTTGTTTTTTTATACACCTTTCTCTGCCAATGGAAATGATATCTGATCCATTAAATCATCTACTTTAGCTTGCAAAGTTTCCAGTATGTCAGCAGATATGAATAGATGTTTCTCATCCAGATCTTGAATTATAAATTTTCTTCCTAGTGCAGATGTTTCGTCCAAATGTAGAAGAAACTGTTTCATAGCTGCATCACTAAACACATACAATTTTGTTCGAATGTTTAATATTTTTTATTATAAATATATATAGATACCATGTCGAAAAGAAAAGGAGTTTCTCTTGATGAGAAACGTATGAGAATGTTGCAAATATTTTATGAGAAGAAAGAATTTTTTACACTGAAGGAACTCGAAAAGATCGCGCCAAAGGAGAAGAACATCGTAGTACAAGCTGTCAAAGATGTGTTACAAGCTTTAGTGGATGATGGTTTGGTACGATCTGAAAAAATTGGTACTTCCACATATTTCTGGAGATTCCCAGGGTAATATTGCAAGAAAATTATATAGCTATGTATGCTCTATAGAAAAAAAAACGAGATACTCAAGAAATATTTTACAGAGAAAATATTACTACAACAGAATGCAGAATAGCTGATACAAGCAAAAAGCTAGTAGAAGTAGAATTTAAGCTAGAGAAACTGAAAGAAGAAATACAGAAAGAAAAGGTAAATGCATATTAGGTGTAATAAAAAGAAATCCATTATTTTTCCAATAGATGGCAATAAAGTATACTGATTTCGCAGATTAACCCGTTGTTATATAATATTCAAGTCTATTTTTTTCTGCACTCTTAAGTAAAACACAGAAATCAAAATATATCATAATGACATCTTTATGATCTTATTTCTCACTTATTTAAATAAAAAACTGATATTATCTGTCGTCATTTTGACTATAATAAATAATATATAAATATATATAATATATAAATAATGTTAGCTTGCTACTTCGATTATCACGCGTAGACGAGATACAGATTACTAAAGCCATCTATTGGAAAAATAATGGATTTCTTTTTACTACACCTAATATTTAGAGGTCTGTTTTGTAATTCCTAACGACTGTAACTGTAACAATACAATTAAGAGTTACAGAAAAAAACCCTAAATTTGTTAAATTTTAATTCTATTCTTGTTTATCTAAAATATTTCATATAGGAACTGAAGAATGATACAGAAGAGAAGAGAAAGCTATTGGAGGAAATAGAACAGTTAAAGAAAGAAGAACAAGAGATTAAAAATCAAATTGCAAAATTCAGTAATGTCGATCCAGAAGCAATTGCAGAAATGAATAAAAAAGCACAGGTACAATCAAACTCAATATATGTTATATATAACATATATCAAATATATTTTATCAAATATAATAGATCTCTTAACCTTATTTTTAACGTCTCATTCTTTTTGTAGTAATAAAGACATTTTTGACTATTGTTTCTATTCTGTCATAGTATGCATGCTACATATAATATTAGTTTTCAATGAAATTATTAAGGAAGCTACTTTGTTGGTATCGCTACAATTGTTGCTTTTTTGTTATATTTGTTTAGAAATACAAAGATGGGACCAATATATGGACGGACAATATTTTTTCTATACAAAGCTGGTGCAAGAATAAATTTTGCATTTCGGAGCAAGATCTTAATAAACAGTTTAACATTCCCGAGGACTTAGACTACAAAGAATGAATTTGATTGTTGGTTTACGCAACTGGTTGTCAATAAATAGAATAAATTATTTTTTCTACAAACACACGTACCATTCAACCAAAATGCCCTTTGTTACATTTACCATGTCTTGCAATTATCTTTATTTTTTAAAATGAGTCAAGTTTATTAGTGTCTTTCGTCGTAAACGAATTGGTTCCGTATGCTTTTCGAAAATTTTTATCACGAATTCGTCCCGAATGATACGAAATAACAGACTGACAACTTCAACTACGTTCGACAATACCACCCAAATAGTCAATTCGGATGAACATGCCTTGATTGAACACAGTGTTGCCAAATGCCTTTACCGTTGCCAAATGACTTTCCCTAGAGCAGCTTCCTTAAATCTTCCTAGGCTATGTTCAGGGAGACAATTGCGTAGCTTGAAAATTACAAAAGTGAACAAATTCATTAGATAATAACCAATTAAATTTATGAATATTCTGGTGAATTTTTGCAATTTTCACTTCATTTCAAGATATATTGGGTCATCTAAAAAGTATCCGCGGTACTTTGTCACTAGATATATGACCATCAACACACATTTAGTGACAAAAAACCGCGGATCTTTTTAGATTACCCAATACAATACAATGAACTCCCTAGTGAAAATTACAAAAGTGAGCAAATTCGAATATTCATAATAAAGTGCATAATTTTTGGGGGATTTCAAGCAACGCGACAGACCTCTGGAGATTCCAGTTTTTTGTTCTAGATGGCGCTGAATTGATTATTTCGATCCCTTCTCGTCAATTTTTGTGATAAACGTGTCGTCGTTTCTATTCAATCCGTTTGTCTGTTTTGCGTATAACGATGTCAGATAATTCTCTTACCTAAATATTTTATAAATTCAACTTGGCAACATAAATTCAGCCTATAAAGATCTTCAAAGAAATTGAGGTTTGTTTTGCTATCGCTTAATATGTGACTGACATTTTGAGAATATCTTTAACATGGTTGTCATTATTACTTTTTATACAAATATTGTCTTCTAAAAATAAAATAGTGCCAGTTACATGTAAACAAGATTATTAATTTTTTGACCGTAGTTTATACTATTCATGAAGACTGATAAAATTCTTTTTACATGTTATATAGTTCCAATTTATCAATTTTATTTTCTAAATTGTTTACTCAGAAAAACAAAAATGGCTGCTGTTCCTTTGATGTTGGTGGAAGAGGATGTTGAACGGGGTGGCAAGGAGCAATCCGAACATGACATACAAGATGACTTTGCTTATAGAAATAACGTGCATAATGCAGATATCAAGATACGAATGGGTAATGTATAACATTGTAGAAATTCAAAATTATATAGACATATGTTACTGTAAAATATTCATAACATTTGTTAAGATATCTATTTGTAAACTATATTTATGATGTCACAACTAGTTTCATTTATAATAAATATATGAATTCTATATTTAATGCTTATTCTAATTATGAATTGAATTTATCTAGGTTTCTTACGGAAAGTTTATGGTTTATTGAGTATTCAGATCTTGATGACTGTTGCATTAGCTTCAATATTTGTGATCAGCTCAACTGTAAAGTTATATGTGCAAGATAAGTAAGACATCTTCTTGTATATTTAATTCATATTAACTAATAACCATACAACGCGTTCTCTCTATACATATCAATTATTGCGAATAATATTTCCGAAGCCTCAGTGATCGAGCTGGCTAAGACACTCTTCCTGGAAAGTTGAGAGGTCTCAAGTTCGAATCCTGGCTGAGGTAATATTTTTTGCAATAAGTTTCTTATTTTCTGTTTATTTTAATTTAGGGGGGGGGGGTTATTAGTGTTTCAGGCCCAGTTCCACAACTCAACTTGTTTCTCATTTCTTTCCAATTTTAGAATTAGAAAGAAACAATGAATAAATTGTACTTCGGTTAAGAGTTAACTGTGAGTTATGGAACTGGGCTTCAGAATGATTGTATTAAAACCGAAAATTTTTCGGCTCTCAATCATATCTGAAATTAATTTAATACAAGAATATATAATGTATTGTTTGGAACATTCAACTTTGACCGTTCTTGATTTTCTTTATTGCATTTGATGTATTAACTATTATAATAGAAATGTTATTAATTATAATATATGATACAATATGACTCAAATAATGAAAATAAAATAAATTATGTAAAGAAGGGCTATGAACCAAAGTAACAAAATATAATGTACATAATAAAAACATTTAATAAAAGTAAAAATAAAAATACAAATATGCTTTTCGACTCTGATCGGATCATTCTCAGTTACTCTCAGCGATAATTCTAGGAATGAAGAAATGGCCAGAATATCCAAATTTCTTTTCTATCCATCATTTCTCGCCATCGAATTTCTACAAATAGTTGTCCTTGTTTAATTTATTTTATAATTAACGTTTTTTATATATTTTTTGTTATATATTATTCTTTTAACTTTGAGAATGATCCGATCGGAATCGAAATCTTAGTTTAATGTAAGCATATTTGTATTTTTATTTTTACTTTTATTAAATGTTTGTTTTTATTACATATATTATATTTTGTTATTTTGGTTCGTAACTCTTCTTATCATAACTTATGTTATTAATTAGTTTGTTTATTATTTAGCGCATGGACCATAGGTTTAGCGTTTTTCCTGACAATGGCAATCTTAATTGCTCTGATGATAAAAAGGAAAGATCATCCTGCCAATCTGATTCTTCTAAGCGCATTTGTAAGTACAAAAAAATAGACGATTATTATTTGTTGTATATGATATTAATAAGAATTTGTTTCGGAAATTGCAGACGCTGGTGCAGGCGTACACTGTCGGAGTTGTGGTATCCATGTACGATACCACAGTAGTCTTGGAAGCTCTGTTTATAACGTTGACTGTCTTACTCGGCTTGACAGTTTACACTTTCCAAACCAAGCGAGATTTCTCATTTTTGGGATTCGGGTGAGGCTGACTCTTTCTTGGCCAAATTATTTTTCATCACGTACTTCTATGATGTTCCACTTTGCGCTCACAACATTCTTTATAATTTCATCTTTGTTGTTTATTGGATGTTAAATAAGGACGAATTTTCGCGAATATTGTAAATACCAAATTTGTATTTAAAATGAAATGGACATATATTTAACATTTAATGAAAGTGAAAAAGAAGTTTTAGCGTAGTCAAATGCAGTGATAAAGAACAGATCTTATAATTTTTATCCCACACTAAATACAGCAGATATAAAAATTGCTATTATCGATCTAATGAATAAAATATGTGTCTATTTTTATGTTTAGTTCTACAATCATTCATTTTTCTCTTTGTTTTACAGATTATTTATTGGACTCTGGTGCCTCTTACTT